CGGCGGAACTCCCGGAACGACGGAAGTCGGCGGAGAGGTGAGTACCGATCAAAAAATTTTACGATTAAATCGAGGAATTAAATCGTTAATTTCCGCAGCCCTAACAAAAATGTATCTTATTTATGTATGACTCGACTGTAGATCCCCAAATCATCTCTGAACTGGTGCCAACACTGTCCTTCCTTCTGGAGGGTGCCTACTTTTGTTCCCCATGGTCCTTGTGGGTGTTGAAAAGTAGCCACAGCTCCAAGCTCACTCCTGTGATGTACTACAATCTCACGTTTAGTTTACTGATATGTATGAGATTGTAGTCCATCACAGGAGTGATCTCGGAGCGGTGACTACTTTACAAGACACACAGGGACCATGGGGAACAAAAGTAGCCACCCTCTAGAAGAAGAACAGTGTCAGCACCAATTCAGAGATGGTTTGAGGATCTACAGTCGAGTCATACACAAATCAGATACATTTTTGTTTAATAGATAAAAGGTACTTGAGTGCATTTTTAAGATTAAACGCCTGAGTTTAGTGTCACTATAAGGAATATAAATTATACCCAGTATATACATTGAAAATAATAGAGTCAACAGCTGCTCTCATATTTCTATATTGTCAATGTACAATAGACATGTTTGGACAGACTGCGTTAGGATTGATAGACCTTAAGAAATATGGTTAAACAATCAAGACAGTTGACACTATCTTTAACAGCACAGATTGTAACCCATTTTCTTGCTACTGGATTACAAGTGAAAACATTGTAATATAATTGCACTAATCTTGACATGTATGAACAGTGTTAAATATACAGTTTGTAAATATATATATATATATATAGCAAGAGAGAACAGGAAGCCACCTCAGATCCACCTCTATCCTCCATAGCAGAAAAAGTGGATACAGGATTAACCTGTCATAAAAAAAAAAGGCAGCTTGTGGTAGTAGAATCCAATGTTTACCATCTCCAGCATTAACAACTGCATTAGCCACGAGCAGAGGAGGCAGCCTTTTCATCTCGACATAGGCCAGGAGAAACGAAAAAAGAGTGAGGTGCCCAGTCCTGCTGATGGGCTGATTGATGGCTAGCCAGCCAAAATACTATGCAATTGCTAAAACAGGTTTTCCTACGTATTTATGTACAGTATATGCATTATCCCCTTTTTTATTTCTGCATATAGTTAAAAGAAGAACTATGAGGTGAGTGTATTTCACTCAACCTCATAGTTCGAGCCGACGTGTGACAATGAAACGGTCACAGGTCGGCTCTATAGATCGGGAAGTGAGCAAACGCATACCGTCGCTCGTTCACTTTCCGATCATCTCCCTGCAGAGAGCCGTCACTCACCGTTGCACGCTGGGATTGCCCCCCAACCCCTCCCCCCCACGCTCTGATCCTCCAGCGCTGAGTGGAGAAACTGACGTGGTGGGCACAGCTGACTCTGCCTCTAGATGGGCAGATCCCGCTGTCACTCATGCAGCTGGGCGGATCCAGACATAATTGTCGGGATCCGTCCCAGCTGTGGCAATCTTGGTATATAGTGGCAATAGCTCGCTATATACAGAGCTTTGGGTCACGGGAGGATGTTAGAATATGTCCTCCTGTGACCCTTTAGCGAACTATGGGATTAAAAAGGTTACCCCATAGTTCTCTGTTAAGTTTGGTTTTACTTTAATTTGGTACTATGAATGTATTACTATAGGACCCATTGTAAACACTATGCATCAAGACATTTCTACATTTGTATCAAGCTGTAAAGTTAGTTTGGTGTACCTTGGGACATTCTCCTCCAGATGTCTCTGTGTGCTGTTCTGAAGCAGCCTTGGCTGCACACTCTGCTGCCAGCTTAAGTTCTGAAGCAATACTATGAATGAAGTGCAATCCTGAAGATCCAGCTCCTCGTGGGCTGGCAGGACAAGAGTTAGGAACACTAGAAGTGGAGAAACCAGATTAAGCCAAAAGAAAGATTGCAAATAACCAACCAATGTACTTAAGCTAACTTTCTGATTACATTTCATATCACGCATAAATGAAAAACTACAACTTTTTGGATCTTTTTTGTTTGAAGGTTTTATAGAATTAGTTGTGTAATATATTTATGCTAAAAGTAAACAAATGAATACGGACACATCAAGAACACTTCATTTGTAGAGCATACAGGACTTTCAAATAAGAAGGCTCAGCACAGTCTCATGCTTGTTGGCAGCCTGTGTACACCTGACTAAACAAGACAATCCCATCTCTTCTAGTAAAAAGGATAGAGTGTCCAACCTCAATCATTTAGCAGTCTTTATATTTTTATCTATCCTGCTCTTCAGGAAAATGTAACAGCCATAAATGCAGCTGTTTTATAGCGGTCAAATAAGAAGAAAGCTGTGCATCTTGCTTGGAGCCCGCCACCTGCTGGCTAACATTTGTAATTAAAAAAAAAACGAGTGATGTCAAATTTCACATTTATCTGATGAAGAAAAATTAATTTTTTAGCACTGAACAAAATAAAGGAGATAAACATTTGCTTGAGGAAGCGGTAGCGTGTACAAACATATCACAGACAAAACAAATGATAACCTAATGCATAGTAAACAAATGTCTTTTTTAAGCTTGATGTCACATTGAAAAAAAAAAAAAATGTAAAACCTAAAAAGCATATTTCAGAAAATAACATTCTTTTAATTCACTGCCTCCTGTATGTACTCCTGCTTTCACTGTATCAGTTTCACTTGTATGTGGTATCCGGGCACTAGTATCTGGTATCTAGTTATGAGTGTCTGCACAAACAGCTACAAAAGTATCTGGACTTTCTTTATGCAAAAACTGTAAAGAAACCCTAAATATAAAAACAAAGTTGTTGTTTTTTTCAACTATGTTCCAATTTAAGCCTTTATTATCCATTAACCCGAATTATCTCTGTTGTTGATCTACCTGCTCTTATTACATGTGTATTCAGGTCATTCTCATACTGTTCTTGTCAAAATTTATTTTCTGTTTTTGCTCATTTTGTTTATTAGTTTTTTGTTGCATAAGCCTTACAAAAAACGCATATGCAAAAAAGAGAGCATATTTTTAAAGCACTGAGTGTGACATTCACCAAACATTAACTAAAGGTAAATCAAATCACCTTAATATAAACACATGCACCAGGAAGATACACTTACAACAAATGTCACATTCACTAAAATAAAGACCTTACATTTTATACAGCTTCACCATGTTTTGTACCAGAAACATTGTTTTAGTGTAAAAGAAAAGAAAACAAATTGCAGAATAAAATTAGAACCTCTTTTTCTATTGTTTTTACTTATTTTTACCTTTAATATATACAGTGACTTCACTTTTGGAACACTATGGGGTCTATTATGAAGATTTTCAGACAACTTTAACCCAGGATTCACGCATTTTCCAATTTAATCCAATTATAAAAATGTATGAAACCTGGGTGAAAGTGGATGGATTATTGATAACAGATCCCAATATCAACAAAAAAAAACCCTTGTTTAACTATTTGTACTGTACAAAGTTATTGCTGAATTATTTGGCATATACTGTAGCTGAAATCTAAGAATGTATTTGGAGCTCAACTGGTTTCTGTCTAAGGAAAAAAAACATCCTGCCAGGCCCTCTTAGCACGCACACACATCTCAAACCACCCCCCCTTCTATGCACCATCAATGGCAGATCCCTGATTACCGTCCTCACATGTTCCCTTTAAATGTAAACAATTAAACAAACTTACACAAAGAGATTAAACTTGGATTTGCAAATCACAGGATTTAAAGGAGAAGTATTGGGAGAGTAAAATATACTCTTCCCAATACTTAGAGCCGGGTGGAACACTGCAGCTGTCACGCAACAGCTCTATACCGAGATCTGAGTGATCATGTAACTGCGGATGGTTCAGCTCACCGCTTATCTCTACAGAGAGTAGTGAGTGTCAGTCACCTCTCCCCACAGGGATTCCCCCACTCCCCTCTCACTGGTGGGTCAGACAGGGGAGGGGGCAGGCACGTCTGATTCTGGCTCTAAAGAGGCAGAGCCAGCTGTCAGTCCTTCCTACCTGAAGCTTGGCTCTGCGCTGTCAGCATATAGCAGGCTGTAGTCCAATATATGCCGAGTTTGAGTCACAGTACATTAGTAGAGATTCAATGATATGTGACAAGATTTATTTTCCTGTCATTTGGAGCCATTAGGAAGACATATGCAGAAAAAAAACTGCAACTGCTGTGAAGCATGTAGCAGAAAAGAGAACCCCTTACCTGATAGTTCCTGTAGGTGAAGGTAAAGGACTGATAAAGCTTGGCACATCAGGTTCGGGGATATGTATTTTTAAGGGTGAAATCTGCCGATATATAGGAGAAGGTGGCAAAGTGATATTCTCCTGCTTTTCCTGGTAAAGAATGGTAAATCGTATCTTTATAACAGTGCTTGGGAACCGAAATGTGCACCTGTCAAAAAACAAAAAGATGAATATTATTTTAATTCAGTTGTCATGATCTATTAACAGGCAGCAAGGAAATACATACAAGTGTTTCTGATTTTCAGTGCCTAGTTTAAAAGGCTTGTCCCTGTTTTCAAGACATAGAGCAATCCTACAGGTAAACTGCTTAATTCACAGTAGACATGCCAAAGGATCTGTAAATTCTATCATTTACCCCGATTTCCTACACAGTACATCCATTTCAATGGCACATGTAACTCCTCATTAACCAATATGTCTTCCTGTGCTCTCACTGTGTCTCCAGGCTTCTAAATGCACTACGTGTCACATATATACAGCAAGCTGACCCAGGTAGCAGCTAGCAGAGACATGTGTAAAGCACAGGAATTAATATCCAAAAATTCACTTTGCATTTCTGGAGTCCCGCTTTTAATGTACCATAAAATCCTCTTCTTCATGAGTCAATTGTTTGAGTGGATTATTAACCATATTTTCGAGTGTAGAACAATGTCACAGGTAATAAACAGTACTTAAAAACAATGCAGGACACTAAATATTTTGGACTGTAAATACACAGTGATCAGTGCTGCATGGAAGTTGCTGAGGTATGGTCAACACAGATTCAGTTTTTCTTCAGAAAAACTCAGAAAAAATGGCAACGGTAAACACTAACATGTACTGAATGTAAATTAGAAATTGTAATTTCTTTTCCAGAAATATGTCATGCTTAGCGAGTAAAAAACCCCATACTCTACTATACCTTTTTAGTGTTTTCCAAAATCAAAAGGTACCGTTACAGCAAATAGTGCAAAATGGATTATAAGTATGATGTTACCCAATGAGGGGAATTTATCAAAACTGGAGCAGACAAAATCTGGAGCAGCTGTGCATGGCAACCAATCAGCATCTACCTTTCATTTTAAAACCTTAACTAAACAGAGAAACTGATTGGTTGCCATGGGCAACTGCTCCCGATTCTTCTGCTCCAGGTTTTGATAAATTCCACCCAATGTGTTGTCGTGGAAAGTTATAAAAAATAATTACTGGTATGCCTAATTTAGTCGAAATCCAAAGAGTATCTTGGATAAGAACAAAGCTCCACCAATTACCACAGCCTCTAGTATAGTGTATGGATACTGGAAAAACCCACTAAGTCAGAGTCTCTAGCAGAGACAAAGACAAACTGCCTTTGGAAAGAAATGAGGCATCAGAAGAGTGCACTTATGAAAGTAAAAACTAAAGCATATTAAATCGTCTTTGTCACTGGGTTAAAAAGGACAAACTGCCTCAATTTTAAAGTGCAGGAACTGCAGCAGCCTCCCAAACCTTCATGCCATGGTCAAATCTCAAAGCGTCAGCACTTCCAAATAGGGCCAAAGTTTGCCCACCTCTGGTGCATTTCTATTGGCCACTAAGGATCCCCATCATAGTAATAATAAGCAGATATATTGAGAGCGCTACTACTGTTTAAAAATTCACTCACGTTTTTAGATGTCACTATATCTTCAGGTAATCATCCAATAGTAATCATATTGGATGATGCATTTGTGACTGGTGAGACTGGCGATACCCTCCCAAGGGGGGCGTCTGCCCGGAGTCCGTGGTGATCGGTAAAAGGTGACCTCCGTCTAAAATAGGTTTGACATTAAGTGGGTCTATGGAGAGTCGGCAGGTCTCAGCTGGCCAGGTTGAGCCTGAACGAATCCGTGGGAGAGCGGCGGGGGAGACCGCTGCTATGCCGTCTCTTAGGCCGCGGCTCGCTGTGTCTAGCTGTCAGTGAAAGGCAACGTAGAATGACAGTGTGACGTCAGTGAGGGGCAGTGGTCACTCCATGTAGTGCGCTTTTCCAGTTTTTGTATTGTGTTAGCCATCATAGTAATAGACAGTGATGGACCAATAGGTCCATTATTTGTGATGGCTGCAAGCTTCAAGATTACCCGGAAGGGTTGCGGCTTTGCCTGTCAGAAGGGTCTGGTATTTGGATGGGTGGGGTGGAAGGCTGCTGCAGGTACGTTCAGGTAGCACTAGTGGCCTGCACTTTATACTTGCAGCAGCCAAATACATTACACATGCAACAACTGAACTAAGCCCAAGTAAAGCTTGGCTAGATTTGTTCATTTCTAATACACCAAATAGTCTATCAGATATGTAGGTCTAAAAACCATCAGGACAGCAATGGCCTTTCTATAGTAAAGTTTTATCTTGCACAAGCAGATCACAAGGGCTTTAGGAAACAAGTCAATCCTGCTCCAGGTTTGTCTGCACATTGTAGCCAGGTGCTTGTCCAGCTTGTCGCTGTGAATTTAAATCAAATTATAATAATAGAACATAGATGATGGTAACAAATCCAAAATTGGAGCAAAAAACTTTTCCTGTGCTAAAAATGGGTACATACAGGAAGCCGAAAATGTCACACTATATAACTCTTACTCATAGGAGTGTATTTACAATGTACCCTGGGAAATGGCATGTACATTCATTAGAAGGAGCCTAGGAACATAGAAAGTACTAATTTCCCATGATTCTCAACTCCACCTAGTGGCAAGTCCTATTTTCCGGATTCACTTATTCTCGTGAATACTTATTTCCTGTGATCCTCAGCTCTATCTAGTAGCCATAATGCTTTATTTTCCTTAAGGAGAACTATGAGGTGAGTGCTTTTCACTCACCTCCTAGTTCTAGCCGACCTGTGACAATGAGACTGTCACAGGTCGGCTCAGTAGATCGGGAGGTGAGCGAACACATGCCGGCGTTCGCTCACTTCTCGATCCTGTCACGACTATCTGCCGTGACAGGGGAGGGGCTGGATTCCCCCAACCCCCGATCCGATCCTCCAGCGCTGACTGGCGGAACGGACGGGGGAGGGAGCGGGTACAGCTGGCTCTGCCTCTAGAAAGGCAGAGCCAGCTGTCACTCACGCAGCTGGGCGGATCTCGACATCGATGTCGGGATCCGCTCCGGCTGCGGCGTCCCAGTATACCACGAGCTGTAGCTCGCGGTATACTGAGCTTAGGGTGACGGGAGGATGCTAGTTTGTGTCCTCCCGTTACCCTAAGGAGAACTATGGGGGAAAGCCCTGACCCCATAGTTCTCCTTTAATGAATAATGTAATAAATACTAAAAAAAAAAAAATCCAAAACTATTCATATGTATTAAATCTCCAATAGAAATAAGACTAATAATAATGACCTAAAAAAAAAAAAACTTTGCACCTTTCACTATAAATCCCATCTCCACGCTGATATGAAGTCATCCTACAATCATTAAACGTTGTTTGTTTTTACCTACAATTACTGTTCTTCTAGTTCCTGGTTGAGTGAGGCACTAGTGATGTAGCCCAGGATTCACAGATGCATGCTGGGAAGGCTACATCACAAGTGCCTTCTGGGAAATCTCATGAGATGATGTGCACTGTCACATGTTCCAGGAGACAGACCCAGAATTACAGGAAGTAAAGGGAGTTAGCTTGAACGGCCTGTAGTGAAAATGGCCACTTTAGGGAGAAAAGGAATGTTTCTTTTATCTACTTATCCAAGTATATATGTGTGTAGATTGCTGGATTGCCATTACTAAACACTTCTATAAAGGCACCTTTGATGTAAATTTTAAGATAAGGGTGAAGTTCCTCCTAAAAAAGGCAAGCTAAAATGGTTTTAAGTCTAAACACACACACACACACACTTTTACAAATAAACATTTATTACATAAAGATTTCCCAGAGCACTAACTGTTGCCTAGAGACAAAAACAGCTCATCTGTTTGTTTTGAGGCACACTTTATCCGACTTGTCTTGGATTGGAAACCTACAAGACTTACATGGTTATTCACAAAAGGGTGAAGGGTTTGGAGAAGGCAGGAGAAGTGAACAATCTAGGACAGCATAGCCGATTTGGAAAAATTCTCCAATTCTATATTGGCCTAGATTGTTCACTGCTCCTGCCTTCTCCAAACTCTTTACCCTTTTGTGAATAACACTGTTAAAGTTCAGAAAACCCCTAATATTAAAGAGGACTTCTGAAGATTATATACAAAAAAAGTCTCAAATACAGATCAAAAAAAGTCAGAAATCATGCAGAAAACCTTGGTGCTGAAGCCACATCTCAAAATTATCTATTGTGACTACCAGAACAAAACTATGCCCCAAGTGTGTCAGGTTGTCCTTGGGTCAGTGGGCCATAGCCACTGCTCATTACGCTACTTAACTAAAGTTTGGAATGCCGTCATATGTCTTAACCCTTTCCCTGCCACCGACGTAAGGCATACGGGGGAACAAAACTGTCCCCAGACTGCCAGGCCAGTATGCCTTACCGGCATTTACCGTTCTGCTATAACCTCATAAACTTATATCAGAATGGTTCCCCCAAAGGTCTCCTTTAAATTAATAGCTGTTGGCCTCCCGAACCTCTGTGCAGAGCAAACACTGGAGTGATCATCAGTACTATGTGTCCCCAGTTATGAATGAACAGGAAGTGCCTCACATCACTTCCTGTTCATTCATGAATTTCTCAATGAGGAGAAGCACTCACTACGGGGGATTCTCCCCATTCAGAAACTGGTTGATTGTTGATAGTAAATATTTTACTATCAACAGACTTTGAATGAATGAGAAACTTCTGTACCGAGTGCTTTCAATTCATTTTGAACATGGGCTTCAGAAAAATAAATTGAGGACTATGTCCTCAAATTTCTTTTTCAAAAGGGAAATGTCAGGGGTCTGTTTAGACCCCAGATATTTCACTGTAGCTACCCCTTCTACCGGGCTTGTGCTTTCCAAAAATGCATGGTTTGGGGGGTATTTTACAAAAGCTAGCAATGCAGCAGTAGAAAAGCAAAACAATGGGAACAATTGCAAAAATGGTGTGGCCAGCTGAGGTGTAAAGTGTTCTTTAGTACAAGAAGACATAGATAAAATAGGGGGATGGGCAGCTATTTGGTGGATGAGGTTTATTACTAAAAGATATAAAGTTATGCACTTGGACACTAAAAATATGCATGTAACATATCTAC